GTTCTTCAGTTGAAGGAATGCTGTCCTTGCTTTGCCAATCCTCGCCTTTACGTCTGCATCTGAACCTCCTTGTTTGTCGACGATGCTTCCCGGGTATGTGAAGGATTCCACGTCTTCCAGAGTTTCGCCATCAAGAGTGATTGGACTGCTGTTCTCCGTGTTGTGTTTGAGGACCTTGGTTTTCCCTTTGTGTATTTTGAGGCCTACTGATGCAGAGACTGTTGCTATGTTGGCTGTCTTTGTTTGCATTTGTTCGTGTGTATGTGATAGGAGGGCTGGGTCATCTGCGAAGTCTAAATCGTCTAATTGGTCTTGAGCTGTCCATTGTATGCCGTGAATTCCCTCAGATGTCGAGGTCTTCATAATCCAGTCGACGACCAAAAGAAAGAGGAAGAGAGAGAGTAGACAACCTTGTCTTACTGCGGTCCTCACTTGGAATGCATCTGTCAGCTGTCCTCCATGCACTACTTTGCACTGTAGTCCGTCGTATGAGTTCCGGATAATGTTGACAATCTTCTCAGGAACTCCGTAGTGTCGAAGAAGTTTCCATAACGTCCTCCTATCTACACTGTCAAATGCCTTCTCATAATCAATGAAGTTGATGTACAATGACGAGTTCCATTCGATTGATTGTTCGACGATTATCCGTAGTGTCGCAACTTGATCTGTGCAAGACCGGTCCTTACGGAATCCAGCCTGTTAATCTCGAAGTTGAGCGTTTACTGTGTCTTTCATTTTGCTCAGTAACACTCTGTTAAAGACTTTTCCTGTTATTGACAGTAGTGTAATACCTCTGTAGTTTTCACACTTGCTCAGGTTTCCTTTCTTTGAAATCTTGATGAGGTGTCCTTCTTTCCAGTCCATCGACACTTGTTCCTCCTCCCAAATCTTCTTGAATAGAAGATGAAGCATGTTCGTAGTTACTTCGATGTCTGACTTCAGTGCTTCAGCTGGTATATTGTCGGGTCCTGCTGCTTTCCCGCTCTCGATTTGTCTAATGGCCATTCTGATTTCTTCTGTCGTTGGTGGATTAACATCTATAGGAAGATCTGTGTGTGCTGCTTCGATGTCCGGTGGATTCATTGGTGCCGGCCTATTCAGGAGTTCCTCCAAGTACTCTGCCCATCTGTTGCGCTGTTGTTGAATCTCAGTGATTGGTCTTCCTTCTTTGTCTTTGACTGGTCTCTCTGGTTTACTATATTTCCCTGCTAGTTTCTTCGATGTATCATAAAGCTGTTTCATATTTACTTCTCTTGCAGGTTTTTCCGCCTTTGCTGATAGTTTTTCTATTGTCGGATCTAATGCTCTTCTCCACTTGCTTGTTTGCTTCTATGTACTCAGCTTGTGCTTAAACTTTCTCTGCTCGTGTTCGACTATTGTTAATTGCTGTCTTCTTGTTCTTCCTTTCTTTGATCCTGTCCAGTGTTTCTATAGAAATCCATTGCTTGTGATGATGCTTCTTGGGGCCCAGAACCTCTTGACACGTTGAAGTTAATGCTTCTTTGATACCTTTCCAGTTGTCCACCATAGTAGTTTCTTCTTCCTTCAGTAGATCCTGTAGGGCTTGGAACCTGTTGTTTAGAGCTACCTTGAATTCATTGAGTTTTTCGGCATCTCGAAGGAAGGCTGTATTGAACCTTTGCAGCGCTGTTTGTCCAGTTGTCCAGTTGTTATTTAGCTTCAGTTTTAAATTGGCAACAACCAGGTGGTGATCTGAAGCTTTGTCCGCTCCTCTCCTGGTTCTCACATCTTTCATTTTTCTCCGGAACTTTTTATTGATGCAAATATGATCTATCTGGTTCTCTGTGGTGTGGTCCGGTGAGATCCATGTAGCTTTGTGTATACGTTTGTGTGGAAATATTGTGCCGCCTATGACCAATTTGTTGAATGCACACAGATTTGCAAATCGTTTCTCGTTTTCGTTTCTCTCTCCCAGTCCATGTAGCCCCATGATATCCTCATATCCAATGTTGTCTATTCCGACTTTGGCGTTTAGATCTCCCATCAGAATGGTGGGGTCCGTTCTTGGGCACTTCGTTATGATTGATTGCAGCCTATTGTAGAACTGATCTTTATCGTCGTCATCGCTATCGTTGATGGATTCATAACACTGGATAACATTCATTGTAATTACCTCCTTTGTTTTAATGATGTCTTGATGATTTTGGATCAGTGAAATTTTCATCCTACAAGTGCATTTTGTGCTACTTTGGACAGCATTAGAGCAACTCCCTGAGTGTGTGGAGCATTTTCCTCTTCGTGACCGGAGTATAGCAGCATCTCTCTCATATACTGCATTTGTTGCTTAGCTTGGGTTTCGCTGATTTCCAGTACTGCCAAGTTGTATCTCCTCATTTCCGTTGCTATTTGAATGATTTTCCCGGTCTCCCACATTGTCCGGACGTTCCATGTACCTATAAAAATTTTTGTTCTGGTTGTTAGAGGGGGCATCGGCCTCGTGGCTTCCGAAGGAACTCGGCTTTCAACCTGAGGCGTCATATTTCTTCTAAATGAAGACCTTCTAACTCCCAGGGCAGAGTTTAAGTGGTTTGAGTTATTTTTCCACGTTAGCGTTTTTTTAGCGAGTTAGGTTTCTACGGGATGGGGACGCTAACCCCATGCCCAACCCTCCTCCTTTATCCGGGCTTGGGACTGTCAGTAACTCTAGGAGAGCTACAGGCGGAGTTATACCACAATATTACAAATTCGATAAAAGTGTACTATTGACTAATACTTTCTTGATATAAACAAAAGCGAAATTATATATATATATATATATATATATATATATATATATATATATATAATAGATTCTTCTGTTCTTTAAAATAGTATCTTCTGTTGTTTGTTTTTTTATATTTTACGCGCATACACAAGCACACTCGAATTCCTTTCTAATTAGCATTAATGTAAAGATTGAACTTGTTGTTGTTAAATGTGATTTTTATTTTCCAAAAGTGTTCTTTTTTTTTAAAGATATTGACTTGATAAATTTAAACAAATCATAGAAGATAATAATAATAATGGCTAATCATTCATAGCGTATAAAAGTTAATGCATATATTATAAACAAAATAACCAAATTTTAGGAACAAGTGTATTTCGTTTGTTATACTTGTGTAATTTTACGGAATAATTAATTAAATGTCAAGTGGTTTTTTTCTAATCATCCATGATCTTATGATGTTAAGATATCTACGATGTTCCATATTAGTTTAATGTTTCCAAGTTAATGGCTTAACGAATATAATTAGTAGAATTATAAGTGTTCGATAAGTTTTGAATAGGTCATTTTTACACCTAAAAATCGACTTATAGTCTGTAAGCAACAGTAATATTGGTTTCTAATAGGTAACAAAAAATTATCACTTGCTTTAAATATATACATCGATGACTTATGAATAAACATTTGTTAAATCTCTAAGGATCCGTATTATCATGTTGTTGATATCAAAGGTTATATTTTGATCACTTTTTGCTATTACATGTACATCCATAGAGGACATAATTTTACAGTCTAGTTGTTAAGAAATTATAATGGAGTCAAATATGACTGAAAAAAATGTTAAATGTTATCTTTATGTAATAAAATATTTAATAGTTGAGTTCATGAGTCAATTGAAACTAGACCACCGTGGAAAACGTGAAAGCACTGGACGGCCATTTCCTCCTCGTATAGGAACCCTCAACAGTGCGCATCCACAATCTCACCTCGCGAGATACCAAACCCAGGACCTATCGATCTCGCGCGCAAACGCTTAACCTCTACACCAATGATCCGGCTGGCATCCAACAGTCTTAGTGTCTAACTTCAACCAATCCACGAAATTGCGCCATTGTCCATCATTGTCATCAGTGAATCACTATCTCACAACAGACCTGTTTGAACTCCACTGGTCATAGCTTCACACTAGAACTCCAAGTAATATCTCCACAAAACCCTTTTCTGATAATAAAATATTTCTTTACTTTATATTGAGTCACATCAAAATTGAATAATTTGTAAACTATTCTGTATAGTCAGAAAAAGAATGGTGACTAATTTAGAAAATCAGATGTCTGTTTTTGATGCTATTCTTAAAATAATCATATTTTTTTGGTTTTAAACACTTTACTGCTATTATGTACAAATAAATAATTGAAGATAGTGACCCTTCACCATGACATTTGTTTGCTTAGCAATTATTTATAAATGACAGAAATACTGTTTATGTCCAATTTAAATATTTACCTAAAGGTTATTTTACTATTGATTAGTTTATTTATTTTTATTTAGGTCTAATTTTGTTTCCATAAAGAGAGAAAAAGAAAAAAGAACTGGATAGAACATTTTTATTTTTCTATATTACCTTATCTGTTACGAATGTACAAGTTCCTATGAAGTTCTTTAAATCTATAAATTAAACATTCTTAGAAGGAAGTTCACATTGGCTAACTAAATTTGACAAAACAAATTAAAGAGCTTACAAAAATAAAAACAACCTTAATCCTAACTAGGTTAAACAAGCATGATTTCAATTATATTGTAATGAACAGAACACCAATGAAGGCAATCGAATGTATTTGACACAAAATTACAGAGCATCTCAATCAAATCTGAGAACCATATTGTAATTCGTTAATTTGAAAAACATCAAACTATCATCCCGAACTTCACTGTTCCTGTTGCAAACATCAATCCATTGTCTCAGATTTCATTGTTCATGCGTTTTCACACCAACTGCGTTCCTTTCCCGTTCTTTCCTCATCGATATAAGTAACCCACATCAGAATATTAGCAAAATTATGAAAGTTAGTTAAACTACTTAAACAAAATGTATTTATTAAGATAATGAGATCAAATAATATTCTTAACTGAATTTAATGCCCTAAATGTTTTTTTTACAAGCTTACTTATATATATAGCTTACATACACTTTTAATATATGATAGCTTCATATTTCACATTTCTTATCCTCTATTATAATTATGTATTTGTTTTTCTATTTATAATTTGTCAGATATGGTGATATGATACCATCTACAGTATTGGGTAAAATAATTGGTAGTATTTGTTCTTTATGCGGTGTATTAGTTATAGCTTTACCAGTACCAGTAATAGTATCAAATTTCTCACGAATCTATCAAAGAAAACAAAGAGCAAATAAACAAGCTATGAGACAAGTAAGTATATATTTGTAATTTTATCCTTTTAGTTGTAGTTTTGATTATGAATTATTATAATGAAGAACTTTTTTTTCTAGCAAAGTAATAACCAACTTACTTACTTACTTACTTACGCCTGTTACTCCCAATGGAGCATAGGCCGCCGACCAGCATTCTCCAACCCACTCTGTCCTGGGCCTTCTTTTCTAGTTCCATCCAATTCTTGTTCATTTTTCTCATATCTATCTCCATTTCCCGGCGTAATGTATTCTTTGGTCTTCCTCTCCTCCTTCGACCTTGAGGATTCCATATGAGGGCTTGTCTTGTGACGCAGTTCGGTGTTTTCCTCAATGTGTGTCCTATCCACTTCCAGCGCTTCTTCCTGATTTCTTCCTCCACTGGGATCTGATTTGTTCTCTCCCACAGTAGGTTGTTGCTTATAGTGACCGGCCAGCGGATCTGAAGTATTTTGCGTAGACAACTGTTAATAAACACCTGTATCTTTTGGACGATGGATTTCGTAGTTTTCCAGGTTTCCGCGCCATACAGTAGAACTGTCTTGACATTTGTATTGAAAATTCTGACTTTGGTGTTGGTTGCTAATTGTTTTGAGTTCCAGATATTCTTCAGTTGTAGATATGCTGCTCTTGCTTTGTTGATCCGTGCCTTCACATCTGCATCAGATCCACCGTGTTCATCGATGATACTGCCCAAATATGTAAAGGTTTGTACATCTTCCAAAGCTTCTCCGTCAATTGTGATTGGATTGGTACATGTTGTGTTGTATCGAAGAATCTTGCTTTTCCCTTTGTGTATATTGAGACCTATTGCTGCTGAGGCTGCAGCTACACTGGTTGTCTTCTCCTGCATTTGTTGTTGTGTATGCGATAAATAACCAACTAATTTTAGTCAACTCTTTAATGTACTTAGTCTATTTTCATAACTGGTAAAACTGTAATAGTAATAATAATCATAGAAACTATTTTATTAATATAAAAGTGAAGAGAAAATATCCATTTGCTAGTACCAACTATACCAGTAATTGTGATATTATTCACTTTAATGTTCTTTAAATTATTGATAATTATCAACTTTTCTACTTAAAGTAGTCTTCTTGGTTATTATCAGAAGGGGTTTTGTAATTTTAATAGTTGAAATCATAAGTCGATTGAAGCTAGACCATCATGGAAAATCGGTGCTCTAATGGTTAAGCGCTCGCGCGTATGACTTGTAGGTCCTGAGTCTAAATCTTGCAGAGGGCGAGATCGTAGATGCGCACTGCTGAGGTGTCCCATACTAGGACAAAACGGCCTTCCAGTACTTCCAGGTTTTTCATGGTGGTTTTTGGTTATTGCTTACAATCCTAATAAATATTTTGTACACAAAAACCAAATTTAATTCACATATCAAGAAGGACTGTGGTGAAGTTGACTAAATAAACAATATTCTGTAAAATACTTATACAAAATATAATTAAAGTAATATGTAAAACATTTGATTGATATGAACTGAAGCTTTCATCTATTCTTATTTCTGATAGTAATCTTTCGAAACGATGTTTATGTATTGCATCAAATTGATCACTTTCATTAAACTTTGTTACTATTCTATGTTTAAATTATTATTCCTTGATAAGTATTTGTTATAGAAACAAAACTTGTAATCATTTTAAGTTATTTACTTTCGCTTAATTATACTGCAGTAAAGCTCATTATGTAATAGTTGTAAAGTTGATCTAATAAGCAAACTATAACTTAACGACTATGAGAATTACTTTTAGGAGTTTTTTACAAGTTAACATAATACTCAGTATAGATTTTCCAGCTGGAATATTTGGCCTCATTTTATTCAGCTATTATAATTTTATTTTAATTTTACTTCATACTCATTAGGTCCTTTTTTTTTCTTTGAGTAAAATGATGATTTCTCCTTATATTTTATACAATTTATCATTAAATTTAAGTGCTTTTGTAATTAATTTTAAATGAATCAAAATTCAATAGAAAAACGATTAGAAAATAATTCATAAGTAGTTGATTATTTTATTCCACTTATCTACACCATATTGTTGATTTTAGCTATTTAACTTTTCAATTACATAAGTCATTTATACAATTTTGTAAATTTTCATTTCATTAAACTAATTGTATAACTTAATAAGTTTTTATTTTTTTAATTTTTACTAATTTCATCAATAATAAATAGATTAAATGGTAATAAAACTTCTATAGTTTCCTATAAATTAAAATAATTAATCATTAAGTGAATACATTTAATTGAAGATTTTGTCAATTTGAGTACTTTGATAAATAATATTTACAAATAGTATAGCTCATTAATGAGGAGTCTTACAATAAGACGAAACGGCCGTCCAGTACTTACAGGTTTTCTATGGTTTTCTAGCTTCAATTGACTCATGATCTCAACTATTAAAAGTATAGTATATGTAAAACTCAAATTTATGAAATTATTCAGTTTAACTATTAAATATCAGAGTAAAATGAGAGAACTACAATACACTAAAATCAATTAACTGATAATTAAATGAATTTAGATGGATATTTTGACAATCAAAATTTATGATCAATTTTGGTATTTTAAAAATTCAACACTGAACCGCTTATCAGTAATTTATAATTAGTATAGGGATTTTGTGGAGGTTATTGAACTTTCATAGATTACATCAAGTATTGATCATAGTTATAAAACCACGGGAAACTAGAAAATATTGAACATCTGCTTCGTTTTAATGCAGAACTTCTTACAAATGAGCACTCACGATCCTACTACAGATAATCGAATGCAGGATCTCAGGTCTCGCATTGATCATTCAACCACTAGACAGCTAAGTCGACATCCAATGATATGTATGACTAAATTCAGTCAACTTGTGATACTGCAGTCGTTAGTAGTAGTTATAAAAAAATATATGGGACAGTGGATCAAGTAAAATCTTAAACCTGAGTGATGAGAGAGGCTATTATGAAATATATTTTCATATGATATTTATGCTATTAGAACTAATCACTATGATGGTTGGAGTTATTAAAGAACTTCTGATTGAAAGCTAAGTAGCATCCTATTTTTTCAAAAAACTATACAGGTCTTAGAATTCATGATGAAATCTATCGAAAGCGCAAGCTTGTCCCTTGATATATACAGACAAAATAAAGGGAATGTGGTGGCTTTTACTATATCAAGCCCACATAGGTTATTCTAGTCTTGGGCAGACTAATTTATTCATTCTTCTGAAGTCACATTTTGACCTTGTCACTTACTCGCTTATTAACATCGACTGTTTTTATAAGATCGTATGTGTGTTAATTACTTGCTCTATTCATGATATATCTGTAACATTTTTGTTTGACCATAAATATTGATTCACGCTTGAATAAATCGAGTTGACTCAATCACCTCAACCGCGTGTCATTTCGTTTCGCTTCACTCTTATTTGCTTTCTTCGCTTCGTTTCCTCGATCATTTATCTGGATCAACGATTGTATGAAATATACGTATTCAAACCTCAACTCATTTAATTCCGTTATTTACAAACGCGATTTAAGTCGATAATTATATACAATCGTTGGTAACATGTATATTTTAATAGCAATCATAATACGATCTAATTGGAGTAAGATACCCAAACACTAAAGTGGTAGGCCCGTTGATAACGTAATCATCCGATCTAATTGACGTCAAAATAAAAGGCCACCAGAAGTGGTAGGTCCGACTTCGAACTCACATCGATAATATCAATATCATTATACCACTGTGGTGTGCGCTACTTATATTGATATAAATAGTATGTGACGCGAGTTAAAAACGTAATGTCTGTCAGCAGAAGATGGGGGAAGATCAAGAAAGGAAGAGCGGGAACACAATGGAATTTGTATGAAAATGCATGAACAATGAAATATGAGACAATGGATTGATGTTTGCAACAGGAACAGTCAAGTTTGATATGATGGATTGATATTTTTCAAGTTAACGAATTACAATATGGATCTCAGATTTTATTCAAATGCTCTGTAAATCTGTGCCTAAGTACATTTGATTGTCCCGATTGGTATTCATGTACACTACATTAAATCCTTAATTTGTAAACTACCAATACTTCATATCAAACTTGACTGTTCCTGTTGCAAACATCAATCCATTGTCTCATATTTCATTGTTCATGCATTTTCATACAAATTCCATTGTGTTCCCGCTCTTCCTTTCTTGATCTTCCCCCATCTTCTGCTGACAGACATTACGTTTTTAACTCGCGTCACATACTATTTATATCAATATAAGTAGCGCACACCACACTCGTCCCCTCTTTAAAAGCAGTCGTTCTTGCGGCGGTTATGCTCGCCGTGCAACATTCTTCTTTTCTGCAGTCTGTGCTATGCCCTTCGTCAAAATGTCGAGTCTTTGGCGCGCTGATCCCCATAGCTCCGTCGATCTGCCGGGGAACCAACATCTGACCTCAACCCGGCACCTGGGACGTTTACACCACTACCAATTCGGTTTTCATTTTTAATTTAATTTAGTAGGGATTGAGTGTTCAATAATATGATCAAATAGATAAATAGTATAATAAAGGTGAAGTGTTGAACAATACAACAATCGCCAACAATTTTAATCGCTACTTCAAAACATTTTTTTACATGACGTTGTAGGACAAAATACGTGACCTGTAGTTGCAAATCATTATTATTTATATATATTAAAAAATCTAAAATTTCGATGATCTAAATGTTTGCAATATCTTACACCGATTCGACCATTAACAGTATAAACAACTGAGTAATATTATTCTGATACTGTAAAAATAGTAATCAATATTTGAAGTGGTAGAATTTCGACCATATTGACTAACAGCCAAAAATGTTGATTTCTAATTAGGCTATTTCTTATCATTTAGATTGCTGATATTTGATTTCTTTTGCTAAGCTCCTTAATAATATTTACTTAAGATTGAAGTATTTTGTTCAAAACAGATAACAGCTCATCCATCCTTCGTAATACAATCAATTCATGTTAATTAGTAATTGTCACATCTCACATAAACAACGAATAAATAATAATAATAGTTATAATGTTACCATAAGTGAATCAAAGTAAATGATGGCAAAAAATGAAAACAAGTGTTTTATCTACAACAGTAATGATCAACACTGAATAAATAAGTAACTTATTTTTCTCTTTGTTTACTAGAAAAACTAAGTTTTTCATTTTTGATCATACTGATACATAAATAAAAAATATAGCTTACTGATTTCTTACGATTTTCCATAGTCACAAACAATTGCTACCAACCAACTTTTAAATGAATTACTCAAAATTTTATTTTGAGAAAAGTACTCATAGTCTATAAAGTGAGTAAAGACAATGGATATTGGAATAGAAACGTATTGAATCACCAACTGAGTAAAGTTGAAACATAAACCAGTAAATTCCAATTCAGTGGATTAACAGTATCACTGTAAGACTTGAAGGCACTAGGCTCTATCTCTTATGACGTTATATGTGTGCACTGACGAAATGTCCTAACCAAAGACTGTAAAATTATTTAATGGTTTATGAATAACATTCCTTTTTCCTTCCAATATTTGATATTGTTGGAATTGAAACAAAGAAAAGTACTGATGAATTTACGTGGAATTTAAATGAATAGCATGGTATATGAAAGGCAGAAAGTATCATCTAAACCTAGAGATTATAACGGACTAAGTATTAATAATAGAATTCTGAACATAGTAGGAGGTTAAATGATAACTAGAGATTATTTGAGTCATATTTATATAATTCCATTTGTTTATCATCAACATGTATTTATAAAATATTCTATTAACTAGATGATAAAGCTAACTAGTTTGCCGTAGGATTAATCGCATAAATACTTCTAATTCACAGGTTGATAGATAATGAAGATTCAAAAGACGATGATATTCTGCAAGTTCACTGGTAGAAGAAATTCGATTATATTTTTAAAATAAAACAATGAAAGAATATGGTTCGAGTCACTGACTGATCTTAATTAAATAACCACTGAATATTAGGAAAAACTGAAAAGTTCTTTTGTCCCAGTGTGTGACTCCAAGATCCCATAGAGAACCAAGCTCAAGGCCTTTAGGTCTCTTGAGGAACGTTTGATTCTAAGAACACTGAGCTAACATCCAACTTCTCACATATTTGACTACAGTTTCAAAAGACGATTCCAGAGTTCTGGTGATAAGATGTGACTAGTGATGTTTAACTATGTCAAATATGAAACAGTTTCTGACTCAGGATCGTAAATTGATCGGAGTTAAACTTGTACGTCATTTGATGTTAATTTAGTGATTTAGAGGTTAATAATTCTCTGAGACACTTGAAGGCCATATGTTCCATATCCTGTGGGGTCGTGAGTATGAACTTTAAGGAGTCCCACACAAAAAATGAAACATCTGTGATTTTCACTGTTCGTTTAAACAAATTCAGTCAGTTGGGTTAACTAGAGAAGTTGACAGTCTCCGCAAGTCTACAGTGCTTGGTGAGTGTACGGATTTGGAAGCCTTGGAAATCAGTTTCTTAAGATTATATTCCTGAAAATATTCCCTAGTCTTTTTCATAAATATAATAAATCACATCCTATAAATAAATGTTTACAGAAAGTGGTTTTTGACATTCTTTAAACGTATATTACCTATACAGTTATAATCCACATCATTTAGCATGATTATCATAGATCTGATAGCAGAGCCATTCATATTCCGAAATAATTATGTTGCTTTTTAACAAATTACGTTCATCACCTAACACTAGACAAAATAAAACTAAATACTTTTATAATAGCCTTGATCACACTCCTGAGTAAGTTCACTTTTTGTCTAGCGAAAAAATTTGTCATTTTAATTTGGGTATTTTATGACTTGCGGATATACTTTGTCATTTGTGATCTTGTTAATTATAGCATGTGCGCTTTCACGAATGTTTGATTAATGCCTATCATGTACTCTAAATGGTTTATACCCACCCTAAATGTGCCTTTCATGTTATGGCAATGTGAAGAGCAGTGTATGACAAATCTGGAAGAGAAAAACTGAGTTAATAACTTGGCAAGCATAGATTATCTATAGTTTATATTCGTCACAGATTGATTTCATTTGAACTATTATTAAAAACAAGGAGAAATGGATAGCTGCTTGTCATAGTATAGAGCTACTTAAGTGTGCACCCACGATCCTACCAGGTGCAGAGTCAAAGACATTCAGGTTCCATGGCCAACTCTTCTTGAACCCTGATCAAGTTGTACTAAATGATCATTAGCCTGAGCCATGGTGGGGTTATTAGTGCACACCGTTGAGTAGTCTCATACTAGGATAAAGCAGTTTTCCAGTGTACTCTGGTTTTTTAATAATACTTCAACTGAAACCAACGTGTGACTAATACAACCAACAAATTCAGCCAATCTCTATAATACTCCATCAGCTAATTGACTTATACTTAGAAACAACATATATATTTTATTGACTGAAAATAACAAAGAACATTTTCAGCTCAAGTGTATGCTTTTAGTGATGTTGTGAGTGATGATGAGCTAGATAGTTTGGTTTTGAGGATCCATTAGTATTCTAGATAATACGGTCAATGCATAACTGATCTACATAAATGCATTACTTAATTAAATTCAAGTCTTTTAAAGGCATAATTTATTATAAGAAACAATATCAACCCAATACAACTTTGTAAACTACTATTTCATCTCATCTTTTAAGATAAGTTTTCCTGAGTTTTACATAGTATCCCTTTAACATAAACAACTAACACTAAAGTTAACTCTTAAATACATCACATCAATAATGTATGAAGCGACAAGAATTAGGCCATAGAATGATAGCATATGTAAACCAATATTATAACATTTATTTTCCATTTGACTCAGTTCAACTTGATTAAAATAACATCGAAATCCATGTTCTTAATAATTTCATATTCATTTCAAATGAGAAATAGGGAAAATATTCAACAAAGCATTTGACTCAATTGATTTTTTTAAACATGATATTCTTTTAAATTTAATATCTACTGAATTCTTTATACAATATTTATTTATGCATGAAAAACTTTGTTTCGTTTTATGATTCTAAGAAAGGACTTTAAATAGCTCGATTTAAATATCATCGTTAAAAAGAGAAAAGAACAATTTTCTTCTATCCTTATTCAAAATTCTGTGTTACAGAAATGATTTTAAAATGCAATTCTTTAAATTTGAGGATGTTCGGAATCCATTCCTCTCTAAGTAAGCTCTGATTCTTCAGCATACATCGGTGACAAGCACAAAGATCACTTAACCTACCTCAAGAGTCGTATAATCTTTACTTAGTTGCTATTTGATAAAATTTCATCACCAATTGAAGAAACTCATTTGGTTCCTGGTAAATTGTGCTACCTGTAGGACAAATCAGTTGCATGTCTGACTACCAAAGAGTAATATAGCTTCTTAAAGTTTGTTGTATGTTAAGTCTGTAGAAAACTAGAAAAAGGCAGCATTCTTCATCCATCATCTGGTAAGAACATATTCCATAGGATGATAATGCGAATCTCCTACGTCACTAATTATCCCTTTACTTATCACAAAACCAATGAATATTGTTTGTATATGTGTTTCACAAACAAAGTCTAGCAAACGTTAGATCTACGAAAGTTAAATTTTTAGCGAAATATATAGAATAATCATATGTGACTTTCTGATAATGTCTTTTGGTAAACGTAATTCTTTTTAATAAATCAGTTTCTTATCATGTTCATTTCTAATAAGAAAAAAAACTACTAAATAATATAAACCATTCAGCAAAACAAATCCATATATTAGCAAAATATAAGATTTATATAAACTAATTGAAGCTACTTGTTATTTACACCATGTTGGTTATTTCACTTCAACACAAAGTAATATGTAAAAATCAGGGAATTCACAGAATCCACCACGATATGAGAATCCTATCAGCATCATATATATATATATATATATATATATATATATATATATATATATATATATATATATATATATATATATATCACCCTACTGTTTGATGGCCATTATTTTATGAGTTATATAATTCATATAAATACAGGTTTAATCATACTTTTGTTTATAATTTTTGTAATCAACTCAGAAATTTAGAATTAATCTAGACTGTTTGAAAATAATATTGTTTGAATATAAATTAAAATGACCATTAAATTATCCAATTTTCTGTTTTCTTTTATTAAACAGTCTTTACGTGTTGCAAATGAACTTTCAAGAACAAGTCAGCCTACATACAATCAAACCAGAATGTCAAAAGCAAATATTTCAACACATTTGAAATTAAAACCTTTATTATCCAAATCAAATTATCGAATATCACATAACTTTATAGAACATGGATCGACAACACAAACAACTCTGAGAGCATTAGCCAACTGGTCTAGAAGACGAACAAGACTGAGATCTTAACTTTTTTCTGAATAAAATACTATCATCCGTCTAAAGATAAGTAAATTAGACAATAATATTAGATCCACAAAGTTCTCTTCCAAATAAAAAAAACAAATATAAAGCAAATGAAGTGTATTCATGAAGTGATTTATAATAAAATATCTAATTTCATCATTTTATTTGTTAATTTTTTTTATTATTTCTCATTGGATTCAAATCTTTTATTTGGACTGTTCTGTTCTGAATATGTTGCAAATATTATTGGAACAATTGTATTTTGGAAATAACTATTATGAATATAGTTTACATCAGTAAAATAGCATCAATTATTTTTATTGATAAGACAAATGGGTTTTAATTACAGAAATTCAGAAAGTGTTCACATTTTGACCATTTCCTTAGTACTATATATATAATATACCCTTGTGGGCCAGGGTAATTTTACATTGGTTTTCAGGAGAACCAGAAACCAACCAGACTTTCACGTGACAACCCAAACAGTACAGCTCAATCCTGTTTAACAAGAGAGCCAGATACCGTTTAGGCTTTAACGCTGCAATCTGAATAGTACAGCTCAATCCTGTGGCGCAACCACACAGGTACTAAGCACCCTGGTGGACCAACAATATATATAAGCAAACAATATTGTTTCCGATTAGATCATCATGTAAGGACAATTTTACGTCTAAATGTGGTGTTTGAATGAACTTGTAGCGTGGTGTCGAGTTGAGCTTAACTATGAACACCGCTACAAGACTACTTGCCAATAGACCAATAAGATTCCGGTAGGCCAAAAATCAGAAGGCAGATGATAATAGTAGTTGTAATATATTTGTTGGCAATCTCGTGGTATCGAAAGAATACCGAGATCGTGCCAAAGGAGTACAGGTGCGATCGGCAAGAAGAAGATACGTGCGTAGTCGAAAACCGCGTAGAAGCAATGGAGTACAATGGAAGACTAAAATGGCTGTTATTAGCACAGTTAAACAAACGAGCACAATAAAACAATCACTGGTACAATTGGTTATAATAATAATTGTTTTCATCGAACCAATCGCGTTCTGTTAACAAAAGTAGGTCACTACAAACTAATGATTCATTTGTACTTGTTGAATGCTTGATTTCGAATTCCAAATACAGTATATTCGTTTGTGCTTATCTAGTACTTCTTGATCCAATTGCTTTATTTCTGGGATTCTTAGTTCGTACTATAATTCAAATACTATTAATTATCATACTATAGAAATATAATCGTATTTAATATCACTATATGGTAATTAGTTATTCCCTGAAATATCTTACGGTATTTGTTGCAAACTTAAAACAAAATTTCTATTTCTAAACAGTCAATCATAAATTCTCTTGATAATCCTTGTGAAGCATGAAACTTGAGTTCAAAATTTATCATCCATTAAGTTCAATTATTGACTTACGCATTCATAAATTAGATATTAGAAATGTAAGTTGGAAGTAAAAATATCAGACGATTGCATTGAAGTAGATATGAAATAGCTCTGTTTTAAAGGTTATTTCATTTCTAATATATATCATTATTGTGAGGTGAATGTAAGAAAACTTGTGTTTTAACTTGTTTGTAATGAATGACAATATGTATTTTTTGATATAACAATCTTTTCTTGTATTACACAATGAAATCTTGGTAGGAAAGCTTTCAGAATAAGTGAGAACTTGTTATATTTGTATAGTTTTAACGAAATTTTTATTTCATCATGTTTATTTTAACTGCGGAACATAAATAAATAATGTTGCTGCTAAGCGTGTGTAGGTTGTCAACCTGACAATTGTTGTAATTACTACCTTCAGAAACTTTTGCGGTTTATTTCATTGAAAATTGATGCCATAGATAGGCGGAGGCACGATTTAACAGCTTTCCATTTTTCATGTACTTGGTGGATTATGATAGATACCTGCTAAACACGTCTCTACTTAAGCGTAGTTTCAAATATTGAATGAAAAACACAAATGTGAAGTGACTTGGAACTTCTAATGAAATCCTAGTGCAAAATCTACACTCCAGTAAGCCAGTAAGCAATGTCATTATTGATTGTACGATTGTTGTTTAAAAAAGACGTACTCTTTGAACTTCTGTCTCGTTTTTGCATACCCTATAGTATGACACATTGATTATCACTCACAAATACCCTGCTGCACATACATGCTTCATGTTTTCGATTATCCGCTGTTACGATAACGGAACTCTAATATATTTGCTGTTCATGCTAACAGATTACAGTGATGTCCTCACTTCACACTTTATCTGGATATACATCTCGGATTATGGTAATTATGGTTGGAATTACTAACTACTTGTAACTGGATTGCAAGACCAAAAGAAACTCTAAAACGCCTATTCCCGACAATTTAATTAACGTCAAGTATATTTTTCTTGTGTGTACAATTTATATTTAGTATATTAAAACATTAATTTTCTTTCGTAATAACTTTTTTATCATTTTTGGAATTGATATATTTTGGCCCAGTACTGGCTATCTTACTACCAGGCATGAGAGTGACTGACTGCAATATGAAGGATTATAAAACCAGAATACAGATGAGTGAAAAGATCCCGGTCAGAATGAATGAAGGGATAATTAATGCGAACGATATGGACTAGCAAAAGTCAAATTACGACATATGTATGGAAGTTATAAAGAGTGAGGCCGGCAGAGATAGGTTAGCAATAATGTGTCGTATTGTAGTGACCTACTTTTGTCAACAGAACGCGATTGGTTCGATGAAAACAATTATTATTATAACCAATTGTACCAGTGACTGTATTACTGTGCTCGTTTGTTTAACTGTGCTAATGACAGCCGTTATACTTACTATCCCGTTGACTTCGAACTTGTACGAATCCGGTTACGCTCAGTAACCACACTTGTACTCCTTTGGCACGATCTCGGTATTCTTTCGATACCACGAGATCGCCAACAAATATATACGACTACTACAATCATCTGCCTTCTGATATTTTGGCCTTTCGGAATCTTATTGGTTAATTGGCACGTAGTCTTGTAGCGGTGTTCATAGTCAAGCTCAACTCGACACCACGCTACATATGGTGACCCAAAATTTTGGAACACGCCTCACCTTCGGTCAAATCTTCTGCAACTGGTGAATCTACATCTACGACCACTTGGCAATCGCAACCAAACCTTCCAAAGAAGTCAATTTTGGTGAGTCTATCGCTTATCTATCCACGTCTGTCATATATTTTCATATTAATTTTTAATATATATATTTGACATGACGGATAACGATAAGAATAGTATTAACGTAATAGACTCTGACGTACAGGTTATACACTTTCGACCTGTATCTTTTATTCCTCACGATCCCGAAGTTTGGTTTGCTGCTATAGAGTCTCAATTTGAGACCCGTCATATTACAAGCCAACGGCAGAAGTACACTTACGCTCTCGAATGTTTACCGGGAGACCATTTAGTAGCTGTCCGTGAGGTTGTCCTCAATTCCAATGTGCCCAATGTTTACGATCGTCTCAAGGAGGCGGTCCTCAGACATTTCCTTCCATCGAGGGAGGAACGATTGAGGACGTTATTAGCACGTCACCCCCTGGGTGATGCTAAACCGAGCCACCACCTCACGCGCCTGCAATCTCTTGCAGGACCCACGGCAGCCGATTCTGAAATCGTTAAAGAACTGTGGCTCGAATCTCTACCAGCATTTATCCAACCTACAGTTACGGCCCTGCTCGAGGACGCACCACTGAAACAGGTAGCCCTCACAGCAGACAAAATTCTAGCTAGGACTGGCAATCGAGACAACTACGTAGTTGCCTCAACGTCACGTCCGAAAGTCGATATCGACGGCAGCCACTCCTCGGCTCAAGGTGACAGGGAAGGGTGTATTCACACACGTCTTAGTTTTCGAGACCGTTGTAACGTACCCCAACCCTACGTCCCTCGAGTCCGCTCACGCTCTCGAAAAGCCGTCAACACTCGCCCAACGAGGGCATCTTCCAAGCCACGCCAAAAGGCGGCTTCGGAAGCGAGTGCAGGTTGGTGCTGGTTTCATCGATCCTTCGGATCTGGTGCCCGCCGTTGTCGAGCCCCGTGCTCATACAAGGCGGGAAACTCCAAAGCCGGCGAGTAAAAGCGGCCGTACTCGCCGGCCCTGCCCCCCAGGTTGGCCGTTTATTTTACGTGCACGATTATCGCACAAACGCTAGGTACCTAGTGGATACAGGTGCCCAAGTTTCTGTCGTACCACGAGGTATCATCAAGTCACAAGCTACAATGCTTCGACTACGCGCTGCAAATGGCTCAGCCATTCCTACCTACGGTACACGACAACTCGCGGTCAACCTGGGCAACCGACGACGGTATCTGTGGACGTTCATCATTGCTGATGTTCCCACAGCCATACTAGGTATTGATTTCCTACAGCACTATGAATTGCTAGTCGATTCACGTAGGCTGCAGCTAGTCGATACTTCGTCGAACAGCAAATTCATGGGCTTTAAAGCTCACACAAACGCGTACCGAATCCTCGGCACTTTTTATTCGCGTGACGATAAATTCCACGCCTTATTCGAGAAATTCCCCAGATTAACTAAACCATTCGAGGAGATTTCATCGGTGACCAATCGTGTGGTACACCACATAGTCACCCGCGGACCACCAGTCACGGCAAGACCACGCCGACTGGCACCGGACAAATTAGCCTTCGCTAAACGTGAGTTTGACAATTTACTATCTACTGGTATTATTCGTCCTTCTCACAGTCCTTGGGCCTCTCCTTTACACATGGTGCGCAAAAAGGATGGGGTTAGTTGGAGACCATGCGGCGACTACCGAGCATTAAACGTAGTTACGCGCTTTGATAGCTACCCCATCCCCCACATACACGACATCACGGCATCGCTCAAGGGCACGACTATCTTTTCTAAAATCGATCTGGTACGAGCATATCACCAGATCCCAGTCGCTCTTGAAGACATCGAGAAAACTGCTATCACGACTCCTTTCGGTCTGCTTGAGTTCCTACGAATGCCATTTGGATTACGGAATGCTGCTCAAACTTTTCAAAGGTTTATCGATAGCATAGTACGAGACTTGGATTTTGTTCACGTCTATATTGATGACCTGCTGATCGCATCATCAAACGTAGATGAACATTATCAACACCTTACGCTATTATTCCAACGTCTTTCGGATAATGGAATAGTAGTCAACCCAGAGAAATGTGAGTTGGGTAAATCAGAAATAATATTTCTGGGTCACATCATCAGACGAGAGGGTATTCTGCCTTGCGAGGACAAAATTCGAGCAATCAAGGAGTACAACGTGCCGTCCTCACTCAAGGAACT